CTCACCGGCACAGCGGGATCTATGCCAGGACCTGCTGTGTGAGGTGCCGCAGCATCCAGTGAAGCGCCCCAGGGCAAGGGCTCACGACAAGCAGCCCATGTCACCCCCACTGACAGACCACCAGCCTGGACTCTGCAGTGGCTCCCAGCATGTCTCTCCTCCACTGGACCCTTTCCAGCAAGGGCACCGGCCTTTCCACCTCCATGATCTCAACACCATATACACTTGTGTGCACAGTTAGGTGTAACTCGCACACTCCGTGAAACAAAAGGGCCTTGGATCAACTCTGCTTCTCATCACGTGTGACAGACTTTGGTTTTATTCTACCTTGATAATACTTTATCAAGAAACTTTGTAGCTGAAGAATCAAGTTTCAGGATCTGGTGTAAATGGCACTGCTGAGCATGACCGTCTTGTCTGCTTGGACCTGCGGTGACCCCCTCCTCCCCTGGTGCCCTTCCTACCTGTCTCCACGACCCTCCACTGCTGCCTTGCATTCAGGAGGCCCGAGCCTTCCTGCTTCGGCCTCAAGCTCCTCCACGCCTGCACCTCCAGTTACCCTGAGCTCAGCCCCAGCAGCCACTGGCCAAGTCCGCTGAGTGACACTGTTCCTGGCTCTGCACCTTTGCCTGCGGCTCCCTCTGCCAGGAAGGCCATCTTCTTACCCACCCTGTGACAGCCTGGGGCACAGATGGCATCCTTCCTGATCACTGTCCAAGCTCCCATTGCACGGGTAGTCACCACCTCCAGTGTGACAACAGGGCAGAGTCTGTGGCCACATCTGGGCTTTGCAGACAGAGTAACCTGTTAGATTAAGTTTTTTGGCTAAGAGGGTACAGGTGGCAAGAGTGTTGTCTACTGGCCATCTGGGTCCCAGAAAGAAGTGAGTGCACTTTCCTTGGAAATGCCCCATTTATTTTACTGTCCTTCCATGGAATCAAAGCCGTTAACCTGTGCTGTGTGCCCTTCTGACACTGCCCACTAGTTTGGAAGCTCAGTTGGGTCAAGGATCGTATTTTACTTCTCCTAGAATCCCCTAGAGCCTCTGGTTCATTCTCTTGCACATGTTACAAAACATACTCAGTTGATGCATGAATGACTTTGTCAATGGCGTTTCAGGCCTGGGACTAGTCACCAGGGAAATGTCTTTGGACACAGAGACAGTTTGTCAGCATATGTCTGAGGTTGGGCCAGCAGGGCTGATCTCCATGTGGATAACTGCATCCCTTGATATCTGAACCTAGCGACCAGTGAGTGAGCCAGGCCTGTGTAGGGGGTAACAGAGACCACCTCCTCCTGGAGCAGAAGCACTTATAACGCCAACAGCACTGGGACCCTGGTGGGGTCCAGACCATGCATCTTGTTACAGTGGGTGCTTCAGGGGGCAAACATTCACTAAGCACCTGGGAAGCACCATGAGCAGGTGCAATTCTCTCTTTCTCAGTCATGTAGTTGTTCCACATTCAGAGCCAGATTGAAATGGATTTGAAGGCTCTCTTATCTTCTAACTCCACGACCTTGTGCTAATGATTCTCGGAGCCTTAGTCTCCTCATCTGTAAAGTAGATTAACAGTACACACCCTAGCTTTGGGAGGGCAGAGATGATGAGCCATCTCCCTACTGCGCAGAATCTRCCACATGTTGGACATTCACCAGCAAGAACGCTTGTCCTCACGGTCAAGGGAAACACCATTCCCCACTTCCACAAAGAGAAACAGACTCCCAGAGTCCTTCAGCCAGCCCAAGGCTGGGCACTAAATGCCAAAGCTCCCAGGCCTTCCACAGCCTTGCACCCCTGCCCTCTGGGGGGAGTTCTTCCYACTGTTCCCAACTGCTCCTTCCCAGTGAAGACAATTTGAATACAAGTTAGCTGTTCGTGGGGGTGGTGACCCTAGTGAATGCTCCTGTACTAGAGACGTGCTCCTGACCAACAGTGTCCACTTCTGATGGGAAAGCCAGGGAGAGGRCAGGGGAGCAAGACCCATGCAGCTGTGACAGAGCCCCCACCTGGCCAGAGCTGCTCAGGGAGCCTCAGCCCCTGCCCAGGCCCAGCCCCGCTCTCCTCAGGCATCCTGGCCAAGCCTCTGCCTGAAATAGACTCTCCTCTCCTCCATGGCTGACACGCTTTCTCACACCCCCTGAGCCTCGGTGGTGACACCTCCTCCTCAGAAGGCCTCCCTTCAGGAAGGCCTGCTCCTCAGAAGGGCCTCCTCCACAGAGACCTCTTTCCTCCCCAGAGCCCTGGTCTTCAGAGACCTCCTTCCCAGAGCCTTGGTCCTCAGAGACCTCCTCCCTCGAGTTCTCCTCCTCAGAAGGCCGCTCCTCAGAAACCTCCTCCTCCCCAGAGGTCTTCTCAATAGGGCCTGCTCCTCAGAAGGGACTTCTCAGAAAGGCCTCCTTCTCAGGAAGGCCTTCTCTCACACAGGTCTCCTCCTCAGGAAGCTTCTCCTTTAAAAAGTCCTCCTCTGAAAGGCTTCCTCCTCAGATTGTTCAATTTTCAGTCTCCCGGTGACACTTGGTTCTCTGCGCCACACCAGAACTCTCTACCTTTTATTTKACAATTTATCTGCAATGTCTCTTTCCCACTGGAATGAAATTTCCTTAAGAGAATGCAGCTAGCATTGCTCATCTTTGCAATTCAGGGCCTTGTTAAATGGTCACAGGACAGAGCAAGGCAGTTGAATTCTTTATTGCTTAAGTGAAGTCATCTTGTCCATCCTCCTGTGTCTGCCTTCACCAGAGCACTGCATTTTCTATTTTGGTTTTATAAGCACCAAAGGCTGGTGGCTTCTTGCCTCCCTTAGATGACACACTCCACAAGCTAATAAACCTCCCTGGCTGGCTGCACTCTGCCCCTGCAGCCTGTCTGCTCTTCATATCCAGCCTGGCAGGGGATCACCTTGCCCTGTGCACCCAAGGAAAACAGAAGGATTCAACACTTCCAAAACAAGCATTCAAGATGCAAATGGTTGTAGAAAAACAGACCCCCAAGCAAACTGAACACCAAGGGAAAAATCCAGACAAAGAAAAAGCCCTGCATGAGCCCAGTGCAGCCAGGACAGGTGTTAGGAAGTCCTGACCCGCAGACTCTGGCTGATGCCTGCATGGGCAGCCCACTCAGCAAGGGAATCCCTGCAGCCCTGCAGGTGCTTCAAGACACTGTCCCACACCACGCTCCTTGGGAGCAGCAAGGTGTGCCAAAGGAGTCCAGCCGTGGCTGCAGGAAGGGCCAGATATTTACTGAGCACCTTCTGTGTGCCAGGCACTTGCTAGACACTGTCACTCAGCTCTATCTCCTTCCATCCCCAACAGTGTGCCTAGGTAGGCTGGTACTTCTTCACATTCAAGGCAACTGAGGCTCAGCGTCAGGTTTACATAGGTCACACTGTATAAGGGGCAGAGCCCCATCTCCATGCTCACTTTGCCCYGTTCCTGGTGCAACACACTCTCCATTCCCCACAGATGTGTGTGTGAGTGCTGGCTAAACAAACCAACCCAGAGTAAGGCAGAGGCCCTCAGCGTGAAAGGGACCCAGCTCAGTTGGCAGCAGCCCTAAGGCAGAGAGGAGACTCCTCACTTTCATTCCCTGAAGGCAACCTCTAGGAGGCCAGAGGACATCTGTGCCTGCTGCTGTCACTTGCTGTCCCTGCAGCACCTCTAAGGCCACAGCACCCTGCTCAGGTGGCCTCACCACCATTTCCAGCATATCTCCCAGTGAGCTCAGGCCTGTCCTACCCAAGCTGGGGTAGGGGAGCCCCAGAGTTCACTGGCTGCTAGCCATCAGAGCCCACCYGCCCAGGAGCAGGTGGAGGTGGGTGACTTCCTGTGCATCCCACTAGTGTCTACGCTTTGCCAAGAGAGGTAAACATCAAGCTTCCTCCCACTCAGGCACCTGGGGCAAGGCCACTTGAATTTCTGGGGTGGACCACTCCCACCAGGTCTTTCCAGAGAGGGGAGGGGAGGAGACAGCCACTGGAGAAAACCCAACCTCCCAAGGCAGAACTTGACCAGAAAGAGGTACCCGCAGCTCAGGGCAAACCAAGGGTTTGTATGGGCTTAAGATCCCTTCATGCTCTTCACAGCTCCAGCGCTAGGTCTGGGGACAGTCTCTCCACCTTTCTGGGCCTCAGAGTCCTTATCTGCAGGTACCAGATGGCTACCACCAGCCTTGGTGGATGTTCAGGCTGGCAGCACCCTGCCACTGCTAGCCTGTGTCTCACCCTCACTTCATTGCAACAAGCAAGAACTCACAAGTGGGGTGCAGGGTCCTTGCACCCACAGGCCCTAATTTCAGTGGTCACCTCTCACGGGAGTGCCAATGGCTGTTTGCTGCAGGACTTGGCTGCTCAGGGCACGAAGGGGCTGCCCTCCTCCTTCTGCCTGCCCCTCCCACGCTCCAGCCGGCCAGCTGGGCCAGCTCTGGGGAGTGCAGGAGTGAGATGCTACCCCTGCGGGAAAGCAGGGTCCCTCTCTCGCCAGAGGAATGACAGCGTGGCCGCTACTCTCCCCCACATGCCCCCTGTGGGGGCGTATCCATACTCAAGGGGCGACACGGATGGTGGGACACATTCCGGAGCCACGGGGAACACATCCAGGGGCTGCAACCGGCTTCCCAGCACCTGCCAGCCCCGCCCATCCTTACCAAGTCCCTTGGCTGTAAAGCCGCAAAGATATCCCCGCCTGCACCCGCCTGCACCGCCCGCACCGCCTGCCCCCGCCGGGCAACACCCGGCCCAGCAGGGCTGCGGGGAGTACGCTGCAACCCAGGCAGCGCCGGTGCCWGGGCGGCGAGGTGGGCAGCGGGCAGAGCCCTCAGGAAAGGCGCTGCCGCGGGCGGACGCGCGGGCGCTGCCCGGRGAGATCGCGTGGCGGTCGGCGGCTGCGAGGTCCACGGCGGCGGCGCGCTGCACTGCGGACCCACCCGGGCGGCCGGCGACCCGAACGCAGCGAGCCCAGGTGCCGGGCGCAGAGGCGCAGGAGCGAGGGGCCGCGAGCCTTACCTTCCACTTTGGTGAGGGTCAGGACCGGACTGTTGCAGGCGCTGAGCGGGGCCACCCGGGCCGAGTGCTTCTTCATGGTGAGACGGCGCCTGCAGGAGCGCTGCCGCCGATCGCTACATCCTGGGGCCGGCGGCGCGCCTCTCCGGCCGCGGCCTCCTCCTCGCCCCTCGCTCCTGCCCCGCGTCGTGGCTCAATGCGGCGGCCGCCCCGCAGCGCACATCCTCCCGGCCGCGCAGCACTCCACACGCGCGGCCTCCTACTCGGGCTGGCTGCAAACTCCAACGTCACGTCCCAGTGCACTCCCCACGCCCCGCCGACCGCTCACCTGCTCCGCCCCCGCCCCAGGCCGCCAGCCCCGGGGCCGCGTCCCCGAGCTCTCAGCCAGTCCCCGGTGCAGCCTCAGGCCGCCGCCTCCCGGACCAGCCCTTTAGTGGGACCGATGTATTTGTGGGGACCCTGAGCACGTAAGCCCCAGTCGCCACAAGTTTAACCAGRAGGTGTTTGACTTGGATGGAGGGCTGACTCCTCTCCTGCGCAGTTCTGAATTGTTTTACAGGGAGAGAAGGGAAAAAGCAAAGCTCCTCACAGCTTGCGTGGGCTTCCTAAGCCCAAGAACACGTTTTTTGTCTGGCCCTAGAGACAACTCTTTGGGGGGAAGAAAATGCAGTCCACAGACTAAGCAGCCACGACGAGAAAAGGCAGGCTTAGAGGAAATCTCCCTTTCTGCCAGGCGCCCAGGCTCYCAAGCTCTTGCTGCAGCTGCTGTCTGGCCTTTGATTCTGCAGGCGGGCCTTCTCAGCTGCCACTCAGACCTGCTGCCAGCTATTAGGTGAAGGGGCTTGTTAAAAGGCCTCCATTTATCTATTGCATCCCTAGTGACTGCTGAGTCCAGAGGGACCTTTATCATTTATTGTTAATCTGGGATAGTACATCATGAAATGTGCCCCACTATCCACTACAGGTAGGACTCTAGGCTCCTCCTACACCCCAGAATGCCAAGGGAGACACTTTATAGGATCTCACTCACATGTGCCCCAAACTCAGTTCTGGCCCCAGCCACTATAGGAAATCCGAAGATTCAAGGTGGGTTTGGTTGTTATTATTGGTTAAGTTCTCACCCAGAGTTTCAGAAYCTGTCTCAAAGTTGGTGTTCCACTGTACTGCCATTCTGATCCCCAATAAGGGTAACTCAGTGGAGTGGTACCAGTGGAGAGTGACCCAGAACCACAGGGTTCCCCTAACTTGGCACCTACCAGCTATTTCTGGTGACATCCACCCACATGCCCCCAGTGTGCGGCAGAATGGCTCCTGAAGTCGCTCTGGGGGAGTTCTTGTTAGTACTTGCCCTCTTGAACAGCCATGATGAGCAGAAGGACGAGTCTTTCAGAGGCCAGGGCTTCTCACGGTGCCTTCCCCAGCATTACGTCCAAGGAAACGTTCTCAGGATCTCTGCAGAGCCCTCTAGCGGTGGCCTCCACACCTCACACCTCTCCCAGGAACTYGCCCCAAGAGCCCTAGTGAGGATGCTACCAAATCAGCCATTTCCTGCTCTGGAAATGAGCCGAAAGAAAAGAATTTATCACGAAATAATACTTCTGTGTGGTGTTTCAGGAAGTTCATCCATAGAATTCGGTATAGACATAATAACTAAAATATCACTTAAAACAGTACTCATTTTTGAGCCATATCAGACATTGTGTTAAGTGTTTCACTTAAATCATTTCTGTATGGTCATTGTTACTCCATTTTATAGATGAGAAAATCAAGAAAGGTGAAATAAAATATCCTAGGTCACAGAGTAACTGGCAGAGCGGTATTTTAAATCTAAGCCTTCAAGAACTTTGTACTCCCTGTGCTCCTCTCTTATATGTTGTGAATATAAAATGCAAAACCGACACCTGACTATTCCAAGTCTGTGAGGGATGGGTGTCAGGCAATCTCTACGGGTGGCCTTTGGTCTGAATGTGCCTTTACGGAGCTGTGGTGCGTGAATGGCACGTGTTCCTGGAGGGCCTGTGTCTCCCAGCACCTCTCTTTGTCCTCCACCCTTGTCCTACAGGCAAATCATGAAGGAAAGTGCTGAATAAATACTTGTCTTTTATGAAAATAGCTATTTCTACTTTCTGCAATGATCTATGTAAGTCAACCCGTTGACAATTCCATATGGTTAAACATCCCTGTTGCTAGGTGTATCCATGAAATAATTATTCCCTAGTTTTGTTGGCTTGGTTTTCATCTCCCTGTGGGGCAGGAGTGTCTGGACCCTGGGAGGCCCTTGCTGTCCCATGTCTGTTAATCTCTCCTTCCTGGTTGTCCTCTCTCCTCTTCTTAATCCCTGTGTGCTGCTCCAGTCCTTCTTCTTCTGTACTCAACTGCAGCAGCCTTTAAGTCAGGAGGTTTCTCTGCCTGACCAAGCGCGTACTGATATTGCTTAAGGCAACACTGTTTTGGGGGGAGTAGGACATGGTGGGCCCATATTTAAAAACTCCCATGAGATTACCCAGGAAGTTAGTGTGGTACTGATACATGAGCCCATATGGAGAATTCCAAACATTTAAAGTATCATACCTGAGCTAGGCTAACATGGGATACTTAGAAAATTGTCTAAGCTCCCAAAWCTAAAAATCCAAATCTAAAATTGCAACAAAACAAAGAAATTCTTTTAAGAAAGAAAGATGAGATTACTGAAGTATCAATAGAAACAACACTATGGATAACACCCAGGTAAGAGGACAGGACATTTGACCTCTGACCCTGCTCCTCTTCAGAGGGTGCCAGTATGAACTGACTTCTGAAGGGGACGCCTGGACACTTGTCTTGAGTTTAGTAGTAGAGGGGAGTATCTGAAAGGGGACCTGGGGTGCATTTTCAGGTCACACCCTTTAAATAGCTCTTCCTTCTGACTCCTACCCTGCATAGTGTAACCAACAGTCTGCTGGCCCGGCCCAGCCCAGCGCTGGCTCCGCGCTTCAAGAGGGGAGATGGCGAGACACCAGTCCTTTGTCACTAGGTCCGCCTCCTGCTCGGTTACTCTTTGACCAGGTGGTAGGGGAGTGGACAGGGATTTTATAACAGTTTCTGGCAGTCTGACATGGTGGGCTCACGAGGAGGGCTGGTTTTGTTCTCAGCAGTACTGTGGTCCTCTAGGAAGACAGAAGAGACGGGCTTGGGAGAATCTCCAGGAAGGTAGACATGGGCTGGCTGATTCCTCATGTCCTGAAGGCTTACCACTCTTCTCCTGGTGTGGGCCTCGTCCCTGGCTCTGTCTCTAGACTCACACTGCTCCTGTAACCTGTTCTGGTCCTTCCTGGGCTGGCTCACACTTCTGCCATCTCTAGGGCCTCAGCCCTGCTCTCTCCCGTGAGGGTAGGTACATATCTGTGGTCCCACTTCACTCTTCCATTTGTTGGGTTACCTGTTCCTCATAGTTCTCTGGAGTGGGAAGTGCCCTGAGCATGAGCCAGCAGCCTATGCATGAGCTCTGGCTCTGCCCATGAGGAGCAGCCAATTCTGAGCCCTTGTTTGATCTTTCTGGCCTCAGGTATCTAATCTGCCTAGAGAGGACCTGTGGCAGTTTTCAGCAGTTTCTTGCTCTCTGTGGAGAACTCTGATTTCTATCTGCGGGGTTCTCTGTTAGACTTGGTTTGTAAGAAAAGGCAATGATCCTAAAAGAAAGTTCAGAAAACCATTGATTTGCTGATTTCCCAGGTGCTTTGGGGCTTTGAAATCTGGGGAGTATGAAATCATCTCCGGGGTTTCAATYGTCACGGCCTCCAAAGATCTTAAGAGAATGCTCACCTTGTGAGTATCTCCAGTTATTAAGTAGACTCTTGCTTTAATGAGTTGTCTCACTTCTTTGCCATGGTCAGAAATACATTTTACATTTGTCAAAAATTGTACACTAAAAGGGGTGAATTTTACCATTTGTAAATCATATATCAACCTAAAAATTGAGAAAAACACATTTTATATCACCACCCTTACACATAATTTGCATGTGTACATACACCATGATGGATGTATACATGTGTATGTGGTGTGCATTTATATGTATAACACACTCATATGGCAGCTGATTAAACTAGTCAGTGAAATATTCCCTTTACCACATGTGAGCATTTGTTTCCATTCTGTTTTATCATATCAACTCTGTTATGTCCTATTTGCTCACTACAAAAAAAAAGTGCAATCAATTCATTTGTTTTTACTATGATGCATCCATGGATTATAATCAATGTAGTTTGAAAAATACTGTTGAGATTGTACTCATAGTAAGGTATATGAAGACTTTACTCCATATGTTCAGAATGAATAACAACAATCTTGAAATCTGATAAGAGTTTTCAGTAGTCAGAAAACAGATATTTTAATTAATTCTCTGTGCAATATCAGCTCTGTCTCATCGTCCTTCCCAGTGTTAAATACTAAGAGAAACATTATTTTTGTGATTGTCAGTGCTTAAAAACAGCTGTTTAAAGTGGTTCCAGGAACCAGAAATGGAGTTTCCTCAGGTAGCTTAGAGTACAGCACTCTCTTCCCAGTGGAAAGAGAGCCCGGAAAGGCAGGGATGAGGACGGGGTGCCAGGGCTCACTTGCCGCCTGGCAGGAACGACTCAGACAYCCCAGGTGCAAGCACACACAGGACTTGAGGGCCTTCTCTTACCCTCACGTGTCCCCATTCCCCCACCCCTGCCAGGCATCCAGGTACTTTAGGGGGACAAACTCAGACTCCCCAGGGTCCCACGAGGCCTTCTCTTCTTTCTCTAGGGAGAAACTCAAGGCTGAATGACTTCAACTGAGGGGAACAGGATATGGAGGGGTGGGATCACTGGACATCACCACTGGGCTTTGGGGACAGCTTTGGCCCCACAGTGAGGAGACACCAGCTGGCATGTTGCAGCTTAGAGCCAGATCATGATGAACCAAGGGCTTCCTTCCCTGGGACYTCTGAGAGGTGGAGCTGGGTGGTCAGCCCAGAGAAGGAAGGACCAGAAGCACTAACAGGAGGCTCGCACACAGGAGGTCCTCGCAAAGCCACACCCCTTCCCACCGGGGAAACACACATGCCACCCCCACACACTCTCTGCCACCGTGTGAGGCAGTGTGGGAAGGGGGCTGCTGTAAAAAGTACCACTGGGACACGTTATTGAATCTCCCCTGCTCGGTCATCTCGTTTTGAAGATGGAGATAACAATGGTGTCTGCCTTCCACATCGGCTGTGGAGATGAAAGGAATTGATGTCCCTAACGTGCTTGTGATAGCACTGGCGAACAGCAGGACCCAACGAGCATGGGCACCGTTTCT